GGTATCTCAATTCCTACTTAACCAATAGTGAAATATCTATCTTGGAATAATTATATGTTTAATGTGTGTTCTATACCTATTTACGTTATTAACTTGAGTTCAACACATCAAACGTGTTAACTTTCATTAAAATTATACTGCTTGTATATAAAAATAACTAGAAACCGATTTGGACTTATGATCTATGGTTATGGGGGTTAATAATTACATTTATAGTAGAAAAATATTTTAATTCCTTATTTGAAACAGATAAATTTTAATAGCTTAACCGTGGTTAATGATAATCATATTCTATTTAAGTTGGTGTAGGTTACGTATAATAGGCTATATAGATATAGGTACCAATATTAATTATTTTAATTGGTGAACGTTTAACAAAAACGTAAAGGTATTTTAAAAAGTTTTTCAATTATAAAATAGTAATATTATATATCTATATGTAAGTAATATGAATAATATTATTTTATAATCAGATGTTTATTATATGAAGCCCTCGTAATCATTACATTGCATTTACAATGGAATTAATAAGCAATGGCTTCACTAAAAACTACATGTGTATTTAAAATGTATATAATATATAAAGGTACAATAAAAAAAAATAAAAATAATAACAATAAATACTATAACCCGTAGATAACAAAAGTGCACTATATTTATGTGTTATTACTTATTTACAACTACCACGACTTTTATATATATATATATTTACAATATGTAGGCATCTTATGAACTATTTATTTTAATAATTCATAAGTGTTTTCTCAATAAAATGACACAAGAATATCAATCCACGATAAATTTGAAAAACTGCTGCTTTCAATAAAAATAACTATTATATTAATAATGTAAATATGTAGATGTTTACAGAATTATCGATACAACATAACATAATATACGAGTAATACTTATAACGTGATTCTTATGCTTAATGATAAATAATTGCAAATATACACATAATAATTAAAACTTGAGAATACTTATTATTTGGTTGGTCGGAAAAAAATTATAATTATTATAATATATAAGTAATTGTATTGTTATTGAAAACAACGTTAATTCAGCCAGGTATCTACCGATATATTTCCTATATATATTATTTTATTTAAGATTAAAACCTTATAGGTACAATATTAATGAAAAATATTTAAAAATGCAGTTGAAAATATTTGAAATTATATATGCGTGTATTGTTTAAAACTACTATAAATCGTTTCTATATCGTTGTATACTTGTATCATTGATTATAGATGATTATTTATAATATGATATTATTATAATATGATTATTTTATTTATTATTGTCTATTCTATAATCAATGCTTGTATTCAATAATAATAATATATACTTAGAGTACAAATATCGATCGTGTGTAGATATATATTTAGGTACAGTATAGTAACGTAAGATGTAGTGCATCAGAAATTTAGTTAAAGACAAGGCACAGAGGATATAACTGAAATTAACAATGAATACCACAAGGCCTTATTTTAAAGCGCATTCGGGGACATTTTACGTGGTCATGAAATTTATATGTAAATGCATATACGTGAAAATCAAATGTTGTGCATTTAACATTTTGTTCGTGATTATTTCGAGGGAACAATGCGGTTAAGGTTATTACCTAGTCATTATTACTAATTGTTATTCTGTTTTATTACAATATTCTAAAATTGAACACCCGAACACTACTAATTTTGTTAATACAATAATGTATCTCTATAATGTACACTATTTTATGGTCAAAATGTATTGTTTATGAAATACGCAGCTACTATATTCATTTTTATACTTAAACGTAAAAAATTCCTCCTAATACAAAAATTATAAATGAGTGTTCTTACCAAGTATGGAGTACATATGCGCATAATTATAAAAGTATATAAACCAAATCCAAGTCTGTTCCAGTTTATAAATTGATTTTTCTCAGACTTAATCACTAACAAATCAATTTCTTATATACATGTATACATGTAGGTATAATATTAAGATATATAATACTTGTATGATTTTGATACGTTTAAATGTACCTATTCAATTAAATTAAAAACGTTTTTACTACGTTTTTATGCAGTATTTATCAGGTAAAGTATTTATGTATTATATTATGATAACCATTACTCTTTAATGTTTATGCTTATATAATCGTAGATACTCATCATCGCACGCAGTATATATGTTATATAATGTAATTATTAATTATTTTTATCTGTCAAGTTTTATGTACTTTAATAAGTGTGTTTTAAGTAGCCACAGACAATTTAAAAGTTATAAAATTAAAAATATAGATAGAACCCCTATTATCCTATTACCTGAACAATCAAAAAATTATTGTACAAGATGATTATGTATCACTTATCGATTGCATTGACTGTGTAAATATTATAACAAGAAGTGCAATGTTTATGCGTATAATCAATATATAATTAACATTTATGTAGTAAGTACATATTTTATGCGGTGTGTTTATCACACCCTATCTTTATGTAGATTATGATGCGTAGGTATGTACATATATATACATATTTTGTACATATTATGATGATAATTTATATCATATATATTTGTCTTAAAAAAGCGCATCTATACTAAATAAGAGAAAACGTTTTTCTAAAAAAAGGAGGGGGTAGTTTAACGCCATTTCACGAAATAGACATTCAATTATAGGTATACAAATATAATATAAATTAACGATATTTCGTTTAAACTACAACACACATAAATATATTATTATTATGAATAATTTATCGACTGTCGAATTCGACAAAACTGCATGTTATACGATTTCTTATAATATGCCATTTCTATAGGTCAGTGTATCACTGCGTCTACTGACTGCATAATATTATACATAGTGGGTGACGTATAATATGTATGTAATATAGGTACGCGCATATCGTATATCGTTTCAGATAATTTCATCGTTCCAGTGCACACGCGGGCGAGAAGTTTTATAAGTCATCGATACACGTTATCCCCTGACCCCTACACAATAATATTAATATATATTATATTGGTACACATACCATCGGTATAATATAATACGTACTGCATATTTAGACCAAGAGTGTCAAAACGGTTGATCTCGATTCAAAGTCCATCCTCTCTTTTTAGGACTTACAACAATACGTACAGTATTACAATTACATTATACGCGCTCACGCATACTTCTGATTGATTAAACTGTTTGCGTAAAATAGTTTTTCTCTCGTGACACTTAGGTATTATATCTGAATACTCTTCTACACCTTTTGATGATCATTTAGAGTAGTGTCTACGTTTAGCAATTAGAGACAGACTTACTTTATTCCTCACGATTATAATTGATTGGCTAACAATATATATCGTGCAATGATGACATTATAAACTACTACGTTAACAGTATAATATGTATTAATTCATTTTGAAATTTAATTTGACACACTCGTTTTTATAGAACTTAACATTTTTAATTGTATTATTTATTTTAGTGACTTTTTACAACTAATCGTAGTTTTCTGTATTACATATATGTATATTATACATCACAAGTACTGTTTAGACAATATATATCAAGACAGTTATTGAACTATATATATACTCCAATAATAATTATTTAAACTGATTGATGTGTAGTGTGGTGTGGACAGTGTGGTGTGTGTGCTCATGCGTACTTTACTCATGTATTAAATTGTGAAATTCAAAATCGCGCAAAATGAAAAGTAATAATAATTATTAATATTGTAGGTAAATTAAAGGTGATATTATTAAGTCGTATTACATATAGATAACTAACTAAAAAATCATAATTTATATACATAATTTCAATTTTGAACAAAATACATTTTTTTTAAACAGACGATTTCCACGTATTATACATATAATATATATATATATATATATAATTTAACCCGTTATGTAGTACCTATAACACATAGGTTACATAATATAATCATGTCTATTGAGTGTCTATATATATATATATATATATATATATGTGTGTGTGTGATATTGTAATAATAGAGTAGACGACGAGTTGATGCACTTTGATTGGTTGACAATTTATCACTGTGATTATTAATGAACCGCTGTTTTCTGTCTAGAGCAGCTCGCTGCACAATCAGTCATCAAACAAATAATAATATATACACTATACGATGATTAAAAACGTATTTTATATTATGTGATAGGTTTTCATATAACTTATTGATTGATTAGGAGATTTAGCCATCCCGCGTACAATTCCTATACATATAATAATACGATATTGCAAATTGGCAACACGTCGGCACGCGAAGCCAATTTCTTCGAGACACGGTACTACCCACTCGATAAGACCTATAGCGGGGCGGGTGCGCGTTTAAAAAAGTTATCGAGCCCTCAAAAAAAAAAAAAAAAATTTGTTAGGTATTAAAATTGCACGTGTTGACATACGCATTGTTCGCGCCGCCGCATGTGTGCACTGATGACGGACGGTCCGCGTACCTAATATGTCGCAGCGTCGTCCTGCACTCTGCACCTGCAGTCTCCTATGCAAAACAATAATATGCGATTACCTACTCATTAACCTGTTATTACCTATATTACCTCATTACTATTGACTATAATAATATATATCTGTCGCGTTGTACCTATGTACTACCTATATGCGACGACTCGACAAAAAGCGACTTTTACGGTGACACGGCAATCGTTTTTATTTTTCAGCTATACCTATAATATCGTTTGTACGCGCGCGGCGGTGGCGTCGCATCGCCCTGCAGCACCGCCACCATCGCCGCAGCCGCTGCCGCCGCCGATCGCCGACACTCAGCGTCGGCAGAACGGCCGTCATCATCCGCCGTCATCGGAACGCGCGCGCGACAAGAGCGGCCGCGCGGGACGAGACTACACTGGATCGACCTTGAGCCGGGAAATTCGAAAAAGTGGAACAGAAACAATAACCAGCTGCACACACGATCGCCGCGCCGCCGATCTAATTATTATTACTCTTATTATTATTATTATTATTCGTCGTCGTCGTCGTCGCCGTCATCGTTGCGCCGTGACGGCGGCGGTGGCCGAGAGGTGTCTGTCGCGGCCAGTACCCCGCCGCCGGAGGGCGGGAACGCGCCGCGCGCGGGCCAATGAGCGTGCGCCGTCCCACCCACCGACCGGCGGCACCCGGCGCGGCGCCGAGTCGGTGATCGCGAGCGCGCGCCGAACCTGAGGCCACCGTCGGCATTGCAGAAACTGCACCGGTCGCACCCTGACGCCGCGCGTCTCACACCGAACACGTCGCGCGTGTCGTACGCCTCACGCGGTACACATCTACCTACGTATATAATATTATCGTACATATTAGGTATACGCTTTACGCGCCGTCGTCGTACGCCGTTTTATAGAAATATATTATATAATACGTTATATTTCGTACAAAGGCATTCGGATTAATCGCATTATATATTTAAATATATAGAATATATAATATATAATATCACCGTAACCGCGTAAACTTTATATATCATTTCAATAGATCGTCGTCATCATAGCGCGTCTGAGATGTGAACTATTACGTCATTATAATATCGTCGTCGTCATTGATACACACGAATACTGCACGTTGGCGCTCGCGATGCGGTATTTCCCGTGATTTTTGAACACTTGGTCCCAACACCAGAGTGACTTTACGTCCACTGCGATCTCGATTACTTGCAGTCGTTTTCGATATCTGTTTCCTGCTCCCGCGCCCCCGTCACCCCGGACACCATCGTTTTCCCGTGCACCGAAATGGAAGCTGACGATCCACGTCTGGCCGACGAGTACGTCAACGAGTTCGTGCTCGACCACCTGGACGTGTCGACGGTGAAACGCGAGATCCAATCGTCCGACTATCACCACCATCACCACCAACAGCCGCACCAGGACCACGGTGGCCATCACCACCACCATCAGCACCACCAACAGCAGCAGCAGCAACAACAACACCCACCCTGCAACGGTGGCCGGGGGACCGCCGGAGTCAACGCCCGTCTGCCACCGATGCCCATCACGGGCGCCAATAACGGGCCCACGTCCGTGGCCGCCGTGGCCGCCGCAGCAGCCACCGCCACACTGGTGCAGTCGTCGCCACCGCCCCACTATCTGCTCACGCCGCCGGGTTGCGAACAGGAATACCCACACCACCACCCACTCATCAGACACCAGCACGCTCTTAACCAGGTAATCGACGGCGTGAGTGGCCCGGGCGCTGGTATGGTGATACACGGTCACGTGGCGACCACGGCCGCGGCGGCCGCCAGCGTGCTGATAACCGGAGGCGAGGCCGCGGTCAAGGTGTCGAGATCCGACGGCGCGACCGTCGGTTCGATGATGTATCCGAGCACGCCGGGCACGCCCCCCGACACGCCGCCGGTGAGCTCTTCGCCGCCGCCGGCCACGACTATCCGGCAACCGGTGTTTATGGAAGAAATGATATGGCTGACGCAATCGTTGCGCCAGGGACAGGAGCCGTTGGACTTGCGACCAAATTACGCGGGTTCCGACGAAATGCAGCAGCACCAGCACCAGCAACACCAGCACCAGCAGCACCCGCACCACCATCACCACCATCACCACCATCAACAGCAGCAGCAGCAGCAACAGCAACAGCAACAGCAACAGCAACAACAACAACAGCAGCAGCAGGAGCAACAAGAAGAGGAAGAACAGCAGCAACAACAGCAACCGGACTCGGCGGCGGTCGCCGAGTGGAACATGGTGCAACACCAACACTCGACCGTGATACAGCCGAGCAACAGCAACAGCAGTTGCCCTGCGGTCAACGGCAACAAGGCGTCGCCGTTTGGCCGCCCGACCCTCCAAGCGCTGTTGAGCCCGAGCTCGTCCTACAATTACGGGAACAACTGTTCGCTGTACCAGCCGCTGTTCTCGGCCCAGCGGTCGATGGCCCCGCACCAGAACCGGCCGCTGAGCGTGTCCAGCGGCAGCGTCATGTCGCCGGTGAGCTCCCGCGGCGGCGGCGGCAGCAGCGCGTACACCCGCGGCGGCGGGTCGTCCGACGACCTGATCAACGACGCGCTGCTGTTGCAGCTGCCGGTGCGCGACCTCAACAAGCGGCTGCAGGGCATCTCCAAGGAGGAGATCGCCCGGCTCAAGCAGAAGCGGCGGACGCTCAAAAACCGCGGGTACGCGCAGAGCTGCCGGACCAAGCGGATGAACCAGCGCATCGAGCTGGAGAACGCCAACGAGATACTGGCGACCGAACTGCACAAGATGAAGTCGGAGCTGTCGCGGATGACGCAGGAACGCGACATGTACAAGCAGCGGTTTTCCGCGCTGGCCGCGGCCAGGGACTCGATGAGCGCCGCTGCAGCGGCAGCCGCCGCGGCCGCCGTGGCCACGTCGTCCACGTCGTCCACGTCGTCGGTGGCCGCGGCCGCCGCGCAGCGCGTCGACAGCAGCTCCAACTCGCCAGAGCTCTACCTGTGACAGACGAGGAGGTCGTACGCGTCTGCGCTTTGGATATCCAAGTGAGTGATGGCGTTTACTAAAATTATATACCTATACTTTGTATTGTACTTGTACGCCTAACTGTTTATAATACTATATGCGGGTGCTCGGGTACTGTCTCGCGAATGTGTGTCCTGCGATATAATAGCCGGGTTCGCGTTTACGCCGTCTTTCGTCGTGTCGTACACCGTCCAAAAGAAATTTTCCGTCGGATATCCTGACGGTTATCCGGTGAACGACGACGTTACCTGCAATGACATATAGGTACCATCATTATTATTATTATTACGACAGTCGGTCAGATAAAAAAGCACACGACACGATAGATGACGTAGCCGCGAGTCCGACTTAAACAATGAATATAGTATAGTCGGTTTTGTCGTATACCTCCACGCAAATAATAATAATCGATAAATTATAACGTGAGTTACCGTGACACTCGTGTAATACTCGACAATAACCGTCGCACTCTTGTGCCGATGACAGTGGACCACCAAGGATAAATGTAGTCGCTGCAGTGACATACCACCGCGGTATGTGCCGCGGTGGTATGATATGTGATAATGTGGTATACATAATATTATGTGTAATGGTCAAACTGGTATGTGATTTAAGTACGTGTTATGTAACGTAACGTTTACATAAAGCTACATCATTATATGAGTACTGTAATGTCTGTAATAATATGCGTGGACTGTATTCGATTTTTCTAGTGTACTCAGCATTATGGCACTTATGGTACTTGTGCGATAGAGCAAAAAAAAAAATAATCAAAAACTTATAATAATAAATAATTTTGGTATCTGAAGAAATGAGAGAATACGTTTTGAGGAGACATTACTATATATATAATAATATGCAAATCTTGCTAAGGTTAAGAACTTGAGACGACTGGCTTTAGTACCTTGTGCAGCTTTCAAACTTTGCATAGTACAATGTTATTTTCTCGTAATACTTAGTATGACATTCTTCTATTTTTATAATAATGTTAACTTTTCAATAAGCAATTTATCCGTTTTTATTCTCGAATGTGGGAAATATACGAAAACTATACTAAATATATATATATTATACGAGTATTATATTGTTACCATGGAGCGGTTATATTGATGTTTAACTAAAAATAAATTATTTAAACGAAATCTGGTAAATCACAACTACATTTTCCGTCTCGACTTTGTGACATCTTTTTACTGAGTTCTTCATTCCGAAAACACCTTAAATTTTCTTTTTTTTTTTTCAAAAAAATAAGTGTTCAAAACAATTACTGGACTCTCGTATAATATAGTATATTATACTATTATTTCTCTCTACAGTTAAATACAATACTAACTGGTCCTATATACACGGCAGCATTTCCTAATATTTTTTTGTTCCGTACCCCTAAATTTAATATTTTGCCATATAGTACCCCTCATTATAATTTTTAAACTTTTTCACATAATTACTTTTAAAATATTTAAATAAAAAATAAAAAAAATTTCTATGTTACATTCTATATACTCCATATCTATTAGATAAGTTGACGGTTAAGTTTTAATTTCTGACACAAATTTTCATTTTTAATAACATATTTTGAATATTTTCGAAGCAAATCGTTTTAAATAAACAATATATTTTCCACCAATAGTCAATTTTTTTTTCACGTACCCCTTGAGATCATTTCGCGTACCTCAGATTGGGAACCGCTGCTACGGTGTTGCACGTGAAAAATCAAATATAATACCAGTATTGATTTGTCCTGTCTCAGACTTTGTTAAATGTAAATTATACATATTTTCAGGATTTACCATTTGGGCGGTTTTAATAACTATTTTATTTTCTATAACTTTCAATGGCGATGATGCACAACAATATTATTATTCATTTACTGCGAGCCAACAAATCCCTGCACGAGCCGCCCCTTTTTAAAATGAAAATTAAAAAAAAATTCGCTCCGATCGGATGCACACCGTCGTGTGTAGAATTGCACCTATATGTACCAAATTTCAGGACCACACGCGTAGGCAAGTGCGCTAGACTCGGCCAAGGACGCTCACGCGCTCAAACAAATGTCCTTATTATTAATATGGATAATGTACGTCATTGTTATTATTATAATATGATATTCACCCTATAGTGCGCGCGTCGTGCGTATAATATGTATGTACGGTCGTTCGGGCCCGAAATCGTTTAAATCGCCTCGACAAGTGGTGTGCGCAGTCCTTCTCCTCCCCGTTGCGGTGTTGTCAGTTTCACAGCCGTCGGGCAGCACCGCGACGGCGACGTCTGCAATAAACGGCTAATGCGTACTTGCCGCGCGGCAGGTCCGGCGCGATGACAAACGAGCCTGCCGAAGACGTCCGGTCATTATCTATATCTATCTATATCTAACTATATATAAAACGTACTTACGTACCACATGGGTACGCGCGCCGACCGGCAATTGATTCGATATCATTTTTTTTCCCCCCGAAAACGACGTGCGAACAAAAAAAAAAAAAAAAATAAAAAATATTTTAAAAAGTCGAAAACGCGCGCTCGCCTACATACCTACATTATTATACAGCAGGTATATATTATAATGACGATATATTTATACATATATATATATATATATATATATTACCTATATTATAGACCTGTCCATTAAATAAAATATGTGTTTATAAATATGATTTATCGTGTGCGATCTCACACGCGCGCGCGCAAAGGTAGACGCCGTTATCAGTCACACGCCACGCCGTATAGCTATTATTGTACATAACATATATTACACAGGTGTATGTGTTATTATGCATCTCGTGCACGCTACTATATCATAACATTATCTCGTATTATTATTATTATTATTATTATTATTATGTACAACTGCGAGGTACTCACTGATTACGTCGCACTGTGACGTCCACTCTCGGACCAGCTTACCCATACCTATAGTCGTCGACGGCGTTCGTGTTTTTCGCGATGTACAATATTATATTGTAATATTATATTAACGTGCACAGCACGTTAACGCGCACGGGAAAATATCGAAATATTTTTATTTTTCATATTATGCACTGCACAACGACGATGGTACGGTGTCGAGATAATATATAATCTCGAGACGCGAACATTATTATTCTAATAAACCGCCCATATTTATGCACCTGCACAACAATATTTAATGCACGTGTAAGTATTACGCGCGATATTTTGTGCGGTGTAACACGTATACAGTGTGATTTCGTCGAGCATAGGTACTCTTCCTCTTTTTTTTCCCCCATCACCAACAAAGCAATTATTATTCGAAACTCGATTTTTTGAAATTTTTAAATATAGGTACACACGAGAATGACCACATTTTTTTGAGATTTCTTACATTATTATGTTGAGGAGTATATCCTATACGAAAACATGCCAACTTCAATTGTTCAAATGATAACTCCTCTTTTCTATTGTAAATTATTTAACGCACATTGTACTGAAAATGTTGAAGTGTCAAAATAAAAATCCAAACTGTGTGTACCAAATATAAAGGACGATAGGTTCATGATGATGGGTTTGGAAGATGTGCAGGTGGAGGCTATAGTGATTGGAAGTTGTAGTAACCAATGCTAAGTTAATATTAATCAAACTCTTTGAGTATACCAACCAACTATTGATTTTTAAAAGGCAATAACCTTAAATGTATAATACTATTTTTTTATGGATTTTAGAGTTTTTGTTTTTTATTTACAATAATCCACTCACGAAATTTTTATAGCATTTCTAAATTCAGTTATAGAGGTGCTTTTGATGAATCATCACACTTATCTACGCATTTTAATAATTTCTTTAGCATTAAGTTAATAGCTACAGCAGTTAGTCATTCAGATACCTATGCTTTAACAACAGAATATAATAATAAAATAACTCTCGATCATTTTGATTGGACCACTGTATGAGATGTTGGCAATGTATTTTCTTTTATTACGAAATATGAAAAATTTAAGCACTTAATTAGTGAATATGGGTAGTATTGTAATACCTAAGATTATAATACTTTCTTCAATACTCGCCAATGAAGTGTTTCGTTTTTGTTATTTCGTAGAATACACGTTTTTAACTACCTATTAGATTACGGATATGATTTAAACTTTTAAAGTCCTTTATACTTCTTACCCTTATGGTATAGTGATCCGATCAGTTGATCAAGTGTAATTATTTTTCTGTGCTATCACAATCGAATCCTCGAAATTTATCACCATTAAAATACAATGAAATAAATTACCCTGCGAGTAAAAACGTCTAATAATCTAAAATGCCTATATATTTCAAAAACGATAGTAGTATGGAAATTCTATCAACTTTTAACATGGATAACTATTACTATAAAATGTTTGTATATTACTGAAATAATTTCAAAATTTAATGATTTGGCAATAAGTTTCTATGACTGAAATTTTCTTTATATCGTACTATTATATTTTTTCTATATAAATCTCATAATTTTAAAATTGGTTAATTTAATGTGGTAAATGGAAATATAGTTCATTTTATATTTTTTATTGTAAATTCAACTAACTTTAAATTTATTCTTCAACATAGTGTCCCGTAAGTTATATATGATTGATAAAAGATTTTCGCAATGGGGACGTTATGTATTATATCTTATATATTTTCCAAGTTTGACTGTTGTAACTATATAATCACTTAGAAATGTTTCCCTAAGCTTATAATTTGTATGGAGTTCTTAATAAAAAACTAACTTTACAGCCCCCCTAACTAATAAATCTAAATACTTTTATAGGCTACGGAAAAATAGTAACCACCCAAATATTCACACAGGTCAGCGATATTCAAATCCTCCAAAAAATAACTGTATGAGTTAAAAACAATAAATAACTAATATAAATTACATAATTTGTTTATTTGAAGTTTATCAAATAAAATAAATTTAAAAATAAAATATTTGTACAAATTGTCAATCCTTTAATCGAGTTTTATATGTCTTGTAATTAATAGGTTAATTACAATAATAGCTCACAAAAATCAATTATTATACGTATGTATACAGTAGTCAGTAATACAGATTATTAATTATTATTACTTGTTCATTACCTTACAATACTTAACTTATTAACTTATATATCCCAGTCTTAACAAACGTAAAATGCATTAGCATCTCACAATAAAACCTAATATTGAGTAGTACGAGTATCGGAGTATATATTTCACAAACGGATTAACAAAAAATCAAAATGTTTTCGTAATAATTCTAAAAATTCTTTGTTATTTAATTACCTTTTTAATAACTATCTACTTTAAAATCAAAGACAGATAGTGATTTAAGCAATAAAAATAAAGGATAAAAAAATTTGAATTATTTAAATTTTAAAAAAATGCTGTTTTTCGATAAAAGAATCACTCTGTATATATAACCAATACACATCTTTGGCATTCTCTAATATTATTTCACATTAAATAATTTAGAGGTACAGAATATTTGTATATTAAGACAAGCTTGCAGGTCCTTCTCCGTTATCGTCTTAGTTTGCTTCTTATAAAATGCATTAGAAAAATATCTAGATTGCATTTTTTTTTTACATATTATGCATATATATTGATAGCATTGTGATAATTTAATCTCGATATGCGAACATTGTAACAAACATATACGCAATAGGTGTAATATGTGTATACATACGAAAAGTTTTGAATGTATAATATATTATATTACAATACGTCATAAATTGTAATGTTATGAAAATACCATCTAAATCACAAGCGAGATTTTTTGTTTTAAAAAAAAAAAAAGGTTTCTCATCTGCAAACGAATAATTAAGCTTTTAATCAAATAAGCTCTAGTGAAATGAAAAAAAATATATGGTCATGATAGAGTAAAAAACTTTAAAAATAGTTTTTCAAAGATATATAGTGTGCATTTTTTCAAAAACTAGTAATAAAAATTAGAAGCAGCTCTAAATAGAATACAATTAATTACAATGGCGTAGCCAAAATTTTTGAATGGGGAGAGGGCTTAAGGTTTAGATATATACCAGGGAAGAACAACTCAAAATCGTAGCAGGTCAGAATACAAAAAGCAAAAAAAAGTCATTCAAAATATGCATTTTAATTAGAATTATTTTGTGTATAATGTAAAATTATTTGAACTTCATTATATTAACCATAGTCTTCTTGTTTTGATCACTATAATTTACTGAATAATTAAAAATATTAAAATAATCGATTGGGAGGTGGGGGGAGGGTGTTATAACACCTAAAACCTCCCCTGGCTACGCCACTGACTAATTAAAATAGGTATTACTTATTAATTATTATATTATGTTGCGCCATAATGTTGAAATTTTCGTTGAACATGTCGCACGGTACGTACTCATTCAATATGATGTGCACGACGATATAATATCACTCACCTATGTCCTATACATGGTATAGGTCACCAAAGCTTTTTGTTTGTATTGTAAAACAAAAATAATATACCATGCGTAGCCAAACCTGTGAACCGGCTGCAATATTCAGCGCGTGGTTTTTAGATTTTTTTAGTCAAAACAAATTCATAAAAAGTAGTTTAAAAATGTTTATTGGATGTGTTGCGTATATGTGTGTAGGTATTAATAATAACACTCTGCCGCAGACACGAGCTGGTCTCGTTCGAAATAATAATGATTACCGATTTGTTTATAGTTTATGCAGAATGCACGCGCAAAACTGTATCTATAAATGCAACATCACAATAATAATATAATATGTAATATCGCGTGTTAAAATTTTACCAACACAGACAATAATTTAGTTATAAATAGTTGAATGGTTTTTGAACAGACTAATTTAAATCATAATTAACCATCCGACTAGACTTAATTATAGTCTGTATAGACTAAATGAGATATGAAAAATGTGTATTTGCATTAATCAAATGTGCTATTATTTCTAGGTATTACATACTTCGCATTTTATACAAGTTACCTACAGTAAATACATTTGTTTGTTCAGAAAATTCTACGAAACATACCTTATTATAAAAAAAAAATCTGATCTCTAGGAAATACTATTTAAAATAAAAATTACTCATTACTTTATGCAAAAAAATATAATATAATATTATATTTCAATAAATTAATATTTATTATTGTACAAGACGTGCATTACGACAATACGACGGTCTTGGTAATAATTTCTTTTCTTTTCTTTTTTTTTATGATCTTAATAAAGACCATTAATTACAATCACTTAATTTCAAGTTAAATACTTAAACTTAATTAAAGTATTTATAAAGCGTTATATAAATATTAATTATCTTTAGATTGTTATATTTTGTTGATTAACTCGGTCGTTTTTAAGAAGTTCAGATTTTTCTGAACGTTACAAACGAATACTATAAACTCATTTAAGAAAAAAAAAAAAAAAAATTGAACCGTCACAAAACTCTTTAAACGGTATGAAATTTGATTTTTCAAAATTTCACAAATCAGAATCTGAATAAGTTCACTATTTAAGGGAGAAAAAAAACTGGGTTAGTATGCTTAATGAATCGCTTTATATATACAAACAGCAGTATACGGTACCTATATAACACGCGGTGCGTCTGTTAAACCATCGATTTCTATCTCGTTGCGGCGTTTAACACTGCAAATGACGGGGTGGTGCAACTTACCGTGCAAGTATGGCATGTATATTATATATATATATATATATGATATGTGTGTGTGTGTGTGTGTGTATACACAAGGACCACGCACGGGAAACAGTTATATCGTTCGATTGATGTGGGTGAAGTGTACACACACACACACACACACATACAAGGCACTCTCTTCGGCGATGTAGTTTAGCGTGGTTAACTGACCGCCCGAGAATTGGCCATCGGTAACGACTAGCCATTCAGACCGCACGCGTTCTTCGAGACTTTCTCGCATGCAGTCGCTATTATGCGCTAATTGCGATTTGTAGAGTCGAAATCAAAAGAAAAACATTTTTTCTCAGTGCATAAAAGAGATTTTCAACAACAGACATAACATTATATTTTACACCGGTCAAAAACATAATATAAACATGTTAGCGTTAAAGTATAAAACGGTATTATTTAATGAAATATCTATAGGTGCGCTACAACCAAGTTAAGACGATAAACCAAATAATTTATAAATTAACTAAATATTTTATTAATTCTCTGTGATTTTCTAGTTATACTGTGTAATGTGTATAATAGTATGATACTCGGATACAGTCGAATTCGCTTATAACGATATTCCGGGTAAAACGATTCCAAGCAATGTATTTGGTTGGTTTTATATCTTATATGTTGTTACATTTTATAATCCGGATATAACGAAGTTCGGTTATAATGATCAGATTCTCTTGGTCCCTTGAAGATCGTAATAAGCGAATTTGACTGTACTACGTATGTATAAAGTGTTATTTTTTCATTTTTTAATCATTTTGTAGTACAATAGATATAGTATCAGGTATTTCACGTTTCAAATAAATAGGCAATTAATAAATTGACTTGTAGTCATCTTTTTTATATTATTGATTATAGTATGATCATGTGTTTATACATTGAAATCGTCGATATTTTTAATTTTTGTTCGGATTTTCATTTTGTCTTAAATGTACCTACACGAAAAATATTTCAAATATGAAATATACCTATTACTATTTTTTAATCTAATCATTACATTTTTTAATATCAAAATAATAATTATTATTATACATTTATACTTAAACTATTTTCAAAAGGAGATTGTATTGAATGGTTATTTATTCTACAGGTATAATTTATAGATATAATAAATAGTATTAAGTCAATTTTAATGTAGGTAAATAGGTTAATTAAAGCAATACGTCAAGTTATAAATAACTGATTTACTACTTTAAACTTAATATACATAATAAATCCATATAATATAAAATACAATATGATTATTTTTTTTTTCTCAGGTGTCTACCAACGTCCGCCAACAATAATTACGGTTCCCGAGCATCGCGAACTTGAAACCGTATACAGCGATTAACTTCAATAACAAAAGGATAAGACTAATAAAGTAATTTGTTTTGTTTTGTTTTTTTTTTCTTCAGTAGTTATATATTTATATTTTAATAGTGCCTATGCGATTTTTTTTTTTTATTATTTTTTTTTTATTTTGTTATTGTACAGTGATAATATATTTGTTTTCCTTCTCAACGCCAAAGGACTTTTCCCGATAAGTATATAAACGTATACAATAATATTATACAATGTGAAATCGGCGTACGCTTAATAATAATAATTATAATAATATACCAACTCATGTATACGCGTTATGTTATTACGCTTAATGTTTAAAAAAATGTAGGTGTGTATAGGTAACTTAATCGTATACCTATCGACAAATACGTATATAGACTTTCCTCGTTCACATCGAGGAGCGCGCGACGCGTACAGCTATAATCGTTTCATTTTTGATTTTTTCCATCATAACAATAATAAAGCTTTATGGGTGTATAACTTATACGCGTTTGAATTTCGCGAGAATAGTTGTTTGTACATAATCAATATTTAATATTTTGAAAATTTTATAGTTACCCAGAAAACTGAAATCGTTTCATTTATAAATTATATACTATCGGTTTATATTTACGTTATCGTGTTATACACAGTACACAGATAGACATAATATTATTATGTATTATTTCTTTTATTACGACGTCAATTTAATTACCATAATTTGGCAAATCACCCATTCCGCCATTCCCGCGGAGGTCACAAAAACCACACCCACTCATCGCTCGTGTACATATTATTCTGAACGCTTCCGAACACCGACACCAACAGCGTAATGTTTTTTGTTTTTTTTTTTCATTCGACCGCGCATAATTATCATTAAATAGGTACGAGTGGTACACGAACTATACGTCAAAAATATTTTTCACTCCAAACGCCATCGCAGTTGGCGCGTTTCCAAACATATTTCTTTTACGGCCTATTGACCGTTTCGGATATAGTCACTTTTCAACCGTATTATTATACAACGCTACATTATAGTAGGTACCAGCTTCACTACCCTTAAACGCGCCGGTCGAGATTTTCCCGTATATATTACGCGTAAATGCGTAAATTATGTATAGAATCGACGTATGTGCTCATATCTGGTACACGACGACGCATACAAAATAATGACGGTATTATTAAAACGATTTTTTGGCCACTCGTTCCCGTTTAAAGCGTACAATTAATACGCTTCACAAAAAATTATTGACATTATATTTTCATACCCAATTTCGCCTAATAAAATGCATTTCCTCCGCTCGATGAGCATAAAATTTGCTGTTCGTTATTATTTAGCTGTTTATGTTTAGATGATTATATACTAATAATGTCTAAACACCAAAACCCGAACACCCGTTTGTGTACAGATTTTTTTTCCATATATATATATATATAATTTGTTTTTATTATAATGATTATTATTAATACGCCGTTATTAAAGTAACATTAAAAAGATTAAATCTGAATACTAATTGTAAGACGCGACTTAAACTGGGCGCAGAAACGTACAAAGTGCTGTTTCGCATATATATGTATTGGCCAACGCCACAGTAATGTACACGCACAAACATCTGTTAAATAAATAGTGCTAAAATGTTTATTTTATTATTATTATTATTATATTATTATTATTATTTATATATATATATATATATTTACATAGATAGAAGACAGTTAGAAACGTTAAAAATTAATATCAAAAATAAAATGTATTTTACCGTCCCGTTTGATATTAATACACCTATATGTATATTGATCTTGATTAGGTTTAAATCTAATAGGGTATTGATATTATTTGTGATATTTATTCGATCCGAATCGTGTATCATCTGTACATCTACGTATCGCACACTTTACCACTGAACCACCCCCATGTTAATTTGACTTCTAACGAATTATCCCGGAATGAAAGGTCGGTGTCATTTTATGATAATATATGACACACAAACCTTCTCTAATGCGTAATTTCGACTGCGCGTAAAGTCATAATTATTTACGTAGTTATTTTAAATGTTTTAATGGCGTGGATAGTTTGCATGAATGATATTAGTCAGACATTTGGCTCATGCAATTATCTGTGTACAGAAAATATGTTAGCTAATATCTATTAAGAAAAAATTTAAAAAACGAGGACGCTCGATAAATAATTCAGCCAATCGAATAAAACTACTTTTCGCTGTTTCTCATTTTTTAATATTTTCAGTGAACAAATTATATTATATCATCTTAAGCTTCGTGTATGCTAAAGTTAAGGGGCTCACGCTTGTCGATGACTATTGTCAGCTTACAATTATCGACTCTGTAAAATCAAACACTAATCGATAGGTATAACATGTCACGTTTATATACCCATTATCAACGATAAGTTTCTAATTCGTCTTCTATTTCTATGTTTCGACAATGGGCTTTGAATTCCGAAATTGTTTGTATAATTTCTCTCAGCCATTTTTTTATTATTTAGAATTAGGTAATAATTAATGTTTTTTTTTTTTTATTATTATTATTATTATTATTATTAATGAGATTTGTTTATTTCGTTTTATTTTATTTTATTATTATTATTATTATTATTTTTTTTTTTTGTTTATATTATGTAATTGTTGTATAGTTGTTAAGTATTGTTTTACACGATTGTACTACCTAAACTTTTGTAGGTTTGTCGTCTGCAATTGATGGTAATAATTATTATTATTATTGATATGTGAATTATGCTGATAAGTTGATGTTAATAAAGTATGAAAAAATGGGCTACACGACGTGAACGGGTATTGTGTATACAAAACGATTCCCTATACGTATAAATGTATATTAATATATTGTATTGCTGCAATCTATAATAACTGTGCACCTGATATTATTTTGTGTCACGTGTTTTCTCTCCGGCGTCACATACTGTGCGGCAGAATAACCGCAGACGCTGCAGGAAAACGCATACACGAGAATCATAACATAATAATAACGTACAATAAAATCACGTCGTCGGAAAGTCGGAGTGTCACACAATGTGATGTTATATTATTATATACAAATATTTTAATATTGTGTTTGGTTTTCAAAAATCGGACGTGCTTATTTGTTAATCGTTATCGCGTACACAGTGCAGTATACACACACGATACCTACCTACCTATGCGTATATTATTGTATTAAAACGCCAATTATTATATACTAATAAGTAACAGTACGTCTAACAAATTTTAATAATATACGTGCATGTATCAAGATTGATATTATTTCGTTGTCGATATCGCGCCATGGATCGTATATCGACCAACCACAATAATATTATTATGCGCGTGGTGCGAATAAAAATTACTCACAAAAAAAAAAAAAAAAAAGCCCCTGTTCGACGAAATTTACAATAATAAATTATGAATACGCAATACAATAGTAATATATGTATATATATGTTTGTGAATATATGTACACCGTACGATAACATGGCTCACATTCATAACTGTATCAATCTCCGCTTGTATACAATATTTATAGCGTCATATTCATATATATATATACCTACATAAATAACACTCCAAAAATTAACTAAAACGTCCGTTACTCAATATTCCTATTTACGGTTAGAAATTATAATGATTGTATAAGATAATATAGCTATTTAACGTAGTTAAACGAGTTCAGTTGATTTATTTCAGTTTTTTCTATCGATTTTCTTGTATTCTTACCATTGCGTTAACAGTATTTATCTTTTAGAAATCTTCAACTAAGAACCGAATGAAACCATTATTTCCAAAACCTAACTGCTATGTTTGTGATTAATGAAACGTTTGCTCCTATTATGAATTATTAAAATGTCATCGCATCATATAAATACATAATTGCTATGTATAAGACGCGATTATAACACTCGATAGAGATATACAAATGTGCACTGTAGATGAAGCAAGTGGGTGTGCAATGTATACGGTGGCACCCCTAGACAAAAAATAAGCTCTTTACACACGACGCTTTTAGATTCTGAACAGAGCGAGTCATTATACTAATAAATTATACTGCAGCAGGTAACTGCGAAGTAACCTGACAACTTGAAGTTTTTCAATTTTATTTTGTGAGTTATCCTGCTAAGTGCAATACACAGTATAGTACAGCATAATATATTAAAATAGAGGTGACGGATTAATATCTCCAAAAATATTTTTACTTCATGAACACGAAGACTGGCTCCGCCTATGATACGCACGAGTCCAATAATCTTATAATAAAAGTTTAGTCTTATTTTGTATAGTTATTATTAAATTGAGTTACATGTAATTGACAATAGTATTATTTCCATCTAAAGTATTTCAAAATATAAAAAAATATGGCATTTATCAAATTTGATTACTTTAATAGGCCGTTTGATTGAAATCATTCCGTGCAGTCAATATTGTCACTATAATAATTAAACTCTTGCGCGCGGATGTCTGACGATTCAAACGACTAATATTGTTTTTTCCTTTGCGATTATTTTATTTATATACGTAAAGGCAGTACAATTTCAAACGTCGCAAACCACAAACTCCAATCTATACAGCACAGTATATAATATAATGACACACATACATACAAACACACACACACATATATATATATATACTATAGGTCACTCGATATACGCGCAATTTTACGTGGTGGCCACGGTGCTCCTATATAGCTGTCGTAATAATATATATTAGGTACTTACGATACGCTTAATGTGTGTTTGTGTGTGTGTGTGTGTGTGTGAACGTACTTATATATATGTTAGGCTCACCGGACTTACTATCAACCTTGGACCCGATCGTATAGCATATATATAACTAATATATATAAACAATAAATATATACATATATATATATATCATAATATATTATATCGCTGCACCGTGTCGTTATCGGTAATTGACGCCAAGTTGTTTACTCTCTAAAACACGACTTATTGTTTTAAGTATACTTATACAATATATAATACATATCGTGTATTTTTATTTTTAACGGAATAATTATATGTAATTAAAAAACATTTTTTTTTTTTTTTTTTGTGAATATTATTTAGTTTGTCACCGAAACCATTTCGTGTACATGGCTCTAAGAAATTATGTGTGAG